GATAACATTAACGGCGTCCAGTCTCCCCGCTTTAAGGCGTTAACATTTGCCCCGTTCTCAATTAGGAATTGAACACACTCTGGATGTCCACACTGAGCTGCTTCGTGAAGAGGACGTTTTCCAGCCGTGTTCACGGCTTCAATGTCAGCCCCAGCTTCAATCGCTAAAGCAAGAACTGATAAATTTCCACTTCTCGCTGCAACATGAAGGGCTGTGTCTCCTCCGGGACAATTTGGTCGTCTGGCGTCAACCAAAAAGTATTTGGCATTGCTTGCAGTCTTTAAAAACTCATTAATGTTGGTGCTTTTGGTAGATACGTCATCAAGAAAGACTTTTACCATCGGATCCATGTGCGTGTGATTACTGAGGCTATCGTCCATGCCATAGATTGGTGGGTCACCGTAGCATACGAGAATGCTGAGGGAGGACAGGCTGATTAACGTAGCACGGCTTATATATATTTCGACAGGGTTATTCGATGCGGCTCTGCGTACTCACAGGTGGATTAGAGTAATAAAAGAGTCAGATGCCCGTTTCTGCCCATTTCTGCTCATATTTATGATAAAGAATCCGCGACGCGGGTCGAAAAGTCAGACGAATAAGAGTGTTGTCTCAGAAATCTAATTTTTTTCTTCTCAAACGAAAAGGTATATACTATATGAAAAATAAAGTCCGCTACGGCAGTGTAAGATTTTTCTAAATAGGCAAGTGCCACTGACGTATCAATTTACTTGGCCGTGGGGACTACAGCGCTACCGGGAACGGTGGCTGAAAACGGTTGGAGTGCTGACAAGACCCCTGATAACAATTCCAACTCGAACCGAATTCGAATCGGAAAAAATCGAGCTTGAAGCAAATCAGACGCTTGCTAACTCTGTGAATCTCGAATCGAAGCCGAAAATACGAAGTTCACTTTTCACCCAGACTGTGGGTAACTTACTCCTTAAAAAATATTTTACGAAACCCATTAGTCCAGCAACTTTTCGAAGGATTTTTATAGTAATTAAAATGTTCTGTGAATATAAAAAAACGATAGGAACTATAAATTTAGAATTGTAAAAAAATAGGTTTCAGGTTTTGTAAGCGAATGGTAGGGTCGATTTCGGGAGTGCGGAGAAAGCTAGAGGTTGGGCGGGTGCTGAGGGAAGGACTGGCTGCGAAGCTGGCGTATAGGGGATGGGTGAGTGGGAAGCAGTTGTTATGAAGGTAACGGGGACTGGACATGGGTGGTGAACCACATGGTAAGTCTGTTAGACCAATCATACCTCCATGGCCCCGTCGAAGGTAGTAGGCGTATTGACGATGAGAGCGTCGGCCAATTTAAAGTCGTC